CTTCTTTTATTCTTTTGTCCTTCTACTCTTCAAGAAGTTCTATAAAGATTTCTTGGGTAGCCCTATCCGACTGTAGACTTCATAAAACTAATTTTTGATTGAATTTGTATTCAACATTTTTGCTAAAGCAAAACCAAAGCCAGTTTACATTAGTATCCACTTTGGTAAAATTCTTTAAATCTCCATTAAAGATTTGCACTTACTTACCTTTTACGAAGAACCAAAAAATAAGTTTGTAAGCTTAGCTTGAACATACATTTCGTAAGCAAATATTTAGCCTTTTACTACTTACTAGTCTCTAGATAGAAGTCTCAGGCTGACAGAAAACAAATGTGCGATTCATGTTGGCCACAACATGACTGCTTTGTGAGGACAACAGTATGAGCACACAGTAGCAATCTAAATATACCCCACATTGGCTGCTATGTGAGCTTCACAGCGTTGAAGCCGACCATTTGCTCACATATTTTCCAATGTGCTCAACATGTGTTGTGATTCAACACCACCACCGCTCCGCCCAAAAGAGTGGCAGTGGAGTGGTAGTGGTGCAGCCCCTCCGCCTGTGCTTCCCTTTTAGACTTATAGTGGTGGTTGCACTTAGCTATAGCTAATCACTTAAACCAAATTTACCCTACCAATACTTCTTCACTTCCTTGTTCTGTCATGTCTTAAGATGAATACACCAGCTCTTTGGAATGTATTGATACCCCTGGGTGATCATAATGTGGTTTAAGATTGCCAAAAATAGAACACCATCACCACTTGGGTCACCACTACTCAATTGTCTTTCATGGCCTTGCAAAAACTGCAACACTTGTGGTCTGTGATGCGACAGAAGCTTCCACATTTCTTGTCAAAAAACTCTCTGTTTGAGTTGCAACAAACTATGCAGGGGTTTGGACCTGAAATGCTATGCTGTGCGCCTGTGCAAGCACGGTCTGGAAACCACAACACACCTCCTTGTAACAGTTATGGCCAGTGTAGCATACTTGGTGTTGTTCATATGCATGTGCATGTTTGATTGTAGATAAATACCTACACTTTGCTACATCTCTCATGAGTGATATGATACAATCCAAACTTGTGTGGTTGAACACTGCCACAGTTCATAAGATGAGTTATTCAAGGATGATCAATGGGCATTGTTTCAAATTACACCAATTACCTGGATGAGAAACTTTTTGCTGAAATTGTGAAACTTTTTATAAATCTTTCAGATGACTGGATCTGGTTGAAGAATTTCTCAAAAATGTTCATGATGCGTAGGTAATAAGTTATAGAACCTAGTACAAACATCTGACCAAATTCTCTTTCAACTATTAAGACATCACAATGTTAGTACACTGGTGCTTTGCTTATATATGAATGAATATCACTTATCTTATCTATATATTTCAATATCAGTGATCACAGAAACTATGTCAAGGGGATCATTTGAGATCATTTGCCAATAAACTTGATCTAACAAGAATGAGAGACCACTTTGAATCCTTGATCAAAATAGTTAATGAAGTTCATATTACACCACATCTGTATCCCTGTAGGACATTGACGTGCACACACGGAGAGTTTCCAAAAAAATCTGGAAGAACTTTTGTTGAGTTCAGACTTGTGGATCACCTTTATGCACACAACCTTGGTCGGAACTCAATTGCCCAAGTTTCAACAACCCACTCAATAAAGGCAAAGCCTTAAGAGCTCTTTTGAGGCTCTTGCAAGTTTCTATCAAAAGTCTTTTGTGTGTGCACGTTGACGTGTCACATGAATACAGACATGGTGTTACTTTTACTGATTTGAGGTCTCTGATCTGTTCCAAAAATGTTCCATTCCCAATGTTTTGAAAAATGATATTATCATATGTGTGGTGCACAACCCTATCCTATATACTGAGCACAAAAATGTTTTTGATGATGTACAATGTCCATGATTTCTGTGATTCCCACATGGCCTTGAAGACCCGCAGGCTCCAATGCTCTCACTTCCCTTCCTGCAAGGTTCAAATGCCACTCATGTCTCATTGATATGTAGCCTGAAGTGGCTTGCTTTCCTCAAAGAATCAAACCTTGCTACATTGATAAATCAACAACTGACCCCTCAAAAGCTATATCACAAGGTTACACAAGTGTCACCCATACTGATCTTACTTTTTTGGCAGCTTCTTTGAGATTTAAGAAAGAAAAGTCATGTATAAGTTTCCAACTTTTTTTCGTTTTCTCCCTTTTTTCTACCAACCAAGCAAAATGAATAAAGAGAAGTAGAGATAGTTTTTTTTGTTGATCTACAAAAATAAAGAATAAAAACTTGACCATCAAATCCAACACATGGAAGATAATCCCAGTATTGATCCAGTGGCATAACAAAAAGAAGAAGAAAAAAAAGATGATCATGACTCTTCTTTCTCATGATTTCCACTATATATTCTTTCTATTTTAAAATAATCAAGAGATATAAATGATGTAGTTATTTTACTGCTTCTTGATTTCTGACTTTTTCATTGTTTCTCTAGGAAAAAAGAATAACTTGGTCATCTATACACCATTTCACTACAGACACTAGGATTGAAAAGTTCAAAGCATGAATGAAAGTGGGTTTTCCATGTAATTCTTGAAAGCCTTCAACCTATATCCACAGAAAAAGATAGATGAAATGAGCAAAACGTTTTTTAGCAGTACAGGAGGTGAATAGATTACTACGTACCACCTGGCTCCAACAGCTCCATCCACAACCCGATGATCACAACTCAAAGTGACCTTCATGACTTCGATTTCCTTAAATCCTTTCTCACTTGCAGCATCAATCACTAATTTCTTATCAGGTCCTCCAACCGCAAGGATACAAGCTTGAGGTTCATTGATGATCGAAGTGAATTGTGAGACAGATCCATACATTCCCAAGTTAGAGATTGTAAAACCTCCACCTTGATATTCTGATGGAGTTAATTGATTATTTCTAGCTTTTTTGGCTAATGCTTTTACTTGTGATGAAATCGAACTTAATCCTCTAGCACCAACGTTCGTCACGACAGGAGTGATTAATCCGGTAGGAGTAGCAACAGCGACTGAAATGTCGATTGAGTCGAATCTACAAAAAAAATGGCGCACATTAGGTTACGATTACGAAAAAGGATGATGCGAGTCAGTGTGAGCTCATGGGGTAGACTCAACTGTCTGATGAAGTCACCGTGCCATTGTGCATTAACCTCTGGTACATCTGCGCAGGCAAGTGCTACCCCCTTGATGACAAAATCATTGACACTCAATTTAGTAGGTGCTTGCATACCACCTTGAGCTGCGTTTGATTGATCAGCTGCAGCTTTATTGAACAGAGCCCTAAGACTGTTTACTCGATCCATTTGGATCTCAGAGGTAAGGTAGTAGTGAGGTACGTTGCGTTTGCTGTCCGTCAATCTGGTGGCAATCACACGTCGCATGTTTGAAGCTGGGATGTCATTGTATGATGGAGCAGCAGATGTAGCGGAACCTGTCGAGCTTGATGCACTTGAATTGTAAGATGACAAGTCAGATTCAAGAATTCGTCCATTTGGTCCTGAACCCTTGATCGAGCCAAGAGGAATACCCTTTTCAAGAGCGATCCGTTTGGCAGCAGGAGTGGCGAAGATCACAGAACGTGAAGATTCGGAAGATTTTGGAGGTGAAGGAGTTGATGCGCTTGGAGAAGGAGTGCTAGGTTTTGAGGCTTCTTTTTTGGACTCTGCCTTGGGTTCTGGGGCGGCCTCAGACTTTGACGGGGCAGAGTCTGATTCGGAGATCAACTTCTCGACAGCAGATGCGTCAACCTCATCACCTTCTTCGCACATGATGGCGATCGCTTGACCAACTGGGACCGCTTTGGATCCATCTCCGAACTGCAGAAAAGGATTTCAAGTGGCTCATGAGTTTCTGCTAGTCTGATCGAGATATTGTGAATCAAGCATTGTCCTACTTACAATGATCTTGGCAATCGTTCCTTCATCCTGAGCCTCTACATCCATAGTAGCCTTATCGGTTTCCTAATTTTTCAATACCGAACAAGCATTATGACACATTGAGTTGCAAGTCTAAGACCGTGAGAATTGATCGTCGCTGGCGATAGATAAGGCTTACAATTTCCAAAAGCACATCTCCTGGGGCATAGCTTTCGCCTTCTTTTTTCTTCCAGTTAGCAATACCACCTTCTGTCATGGTCGGTGACATTGCGGGCATTGAGAACTTGCTGAGAGCCAAAGATTGAGCTGAGGCATGTAGTTCTGCAGAGTAATGATACGATCGATCGAAGATAACGGTGATCAGTTGCTAGACCCATGCGAAGACGATCTGGCTGAAATGCATGAACAAAACACTGACCTCGGTTTTTGATGGTATGATGTGGTATCAGCCGTCTTGTAGCGTATCCGACTAGATTGGCATTACGAGGAATGACTCTGAACATGATGTAGTGATTTCTTGAGAAAGTCTTGAACAGTAGTCAGCTATGGTTTTCCACCTGGTGATCGATGATAGTTCTTGATGACCAAGTACGATGTGAATGTGAAAAGTGTTGAAGAAGGGGTATAGTCGATAATTCGCTTTTAGTTTTTCAATTTGGTTGGGGTCACCAGTTGACTTGGATCCTGATTTTGATTTTCATTCGGACCCCATCGGGATCGAAACCATTCGGGCAATTTCTGTAATCCCTTATCAGCTGCGGACTGTATACATCCATTCATCTCCCTTCTTTTGAACATTCTTCATGATGGAGAATGCAAAGGATTAGAGACAATTTCAATGTTATCCATCTCTTCTCAATTATCCAGTCCTCATCATTTATTCCGGACAAACTTATGTGAAGAAAAAGTCAAGTCACGCCAAAAAATAAATGAGTTTTACCACCTAGCCATCCTGCTTACTCATAAGACTCGTATTCCAGAGTAAAGACATCCTAAATTTTGAAAGAACAAAAATAGTTCAAAGGAAGTAATCTGATATCTGAGTTTCTTTATTACATACATAAGCAAGATGTGAATGGTTTCTCTTATAGTGTGCTTAGGTTTTTTTGTGATATACATATTTCTTAAGGAAACTTTCTACCTAAGGATTTTTAAAGAATGATCATAACTAGAAATAAAGATGATCCATAGATAATTCTTGAAATTAACTTCGTATATATTTGATTCAACCATACCACAATTGATTTTTCTGGTTAAAAACACTTGATCCTTTTTTGGTGTGGTCCTGTGGTATGTTCAAGATATTCTTGAATATTAACAACAAGGATGGCATATTTATGTACTGGTTCCCCAAATCAAGCATCATTCACAGAAATCATATAATGTCTGTTCCTCCATGTGAGAAAAATGACTGTGTAATTGGGAGGTTTAACTTGCTTTCTCGTGTCCTCAAACCACTGCTTCAAACCCCCAAAAAATCGAGTTTAGAGCACGAGAAAGCTAGAGAAAGACAGGGAAAGACCAAATGAGGAATAAGTTTCCAAGGGAACTGAGTCCATCGATTAATTCCTAAACCCAAATCATCCGACAATACGAGCCAATAAACTGGTAGAGGGGTTTTAAGATTTCTGGAATATCAGGCGGCACGTCTTTAGCTTCTCTATTCTTGTACTTGAAATATGTGCGCTTGGATGGTTGTCTGGCTCAAGCGGGATGGGGGAAATAGGCCTGCGGATAATTTCTTAATTGTTTCTATTTCAAAAGTCAAAAGATAAAGAGAAAAAGATCACTACCTGATTCCTGGTTCTTTCTTCAATAGTTTGAAATATGAAGATAATGAATACCTTGATCATCTATAAACCATTCGTCCATCTTTGGACTAGGGACTTGCTCAGTTCTCATTACATACATTGTTCTCTTTCTCACAAGCAATCACGTGCTAGGTCATAGCCTTCTTGTAGAAGGTTCTGACCTGGTGTTTGGGGGGGGGCCGTAGGCCGCGGACTGCCTGTCAGAGAGAGGTTTTCGTGGGTGGGGGTGGGTGGGTGGCCCATGAGAACCGCCAGTCTTTGTTTCTTGTCTTCCCTACGCTATCCAGCTATTTGTTCATCGTGGTTCCCTTCTCCAATTCCGTTGTTTGTTTTCTTTTTTCTTTCCCACTCTGACTCTTTCTGTAGGGTGGGTGGGGAGGTTTTTTTGAAATAATTATTAATTTTTCTTTTGAAGCTACTAGCGATAAATCTGAAAATTCAATAATTCGAACTTGAGGTGTCTGAGTGGAAAGAGTTGTATTGGAACTTTGAAATTGAAAATTTTCAAAGTCTTCTCTTCTTGGGAGGCCGGTTACCCCGGCCCCGCCTTGCTCTCATCCACTGCGTCTCGGGTCCCGATGGAACTCACCGATGACGTCGTTCCTTTGGCCACCAGTGCCAATCCATCTTTGGACTAGGGACTTGCTCAGTTCTCATTACATACATTGTTCTCTTTCTCACAAGCAATCACGTGCTAGGTCATAGCCTTCTTGTAGAAGGTTCTGACCTGGTGTTTGGGGGGGGCCGTAGGCCGCGGACTGCCTGTCAGAGAGAGGTTTTCTACCACCAACTCTCTGGACGGATGGCGTCCTGAGCCCGTCGAAAACCTATCTACGACAGTCGTACAGGGGGTGTATGTATTTCATTTTAACTTTTACCTGTGTGTAGGTGGATCTCTAAACTTTAATATTCCTTAATTCAATTGCTATGCGTGTATGCACAACGCCCTGTCTCCCCTCTCCCCATTCCTTCCTATCTATTTCAACTTATGGTCATCTTCTTTTCCTCTTCTTCTTGCTTCTTCTGTTGGCAACAACTGATCTGCAGACGTATACCCAATCAGTTTCTCACTCCTTCACGGCTCGATTCCTGGAACCTTACTTACTGTCTTTCAACTCCAGCAACTTCCACAGTTCTTTCGTCTCCCTTTTCTCCTCTTCGCTATATTTCCGCAAATACAACTGGTACGCCTTTGATTGCCAACGTCCCACCGTGGTTATTTCTTTTATCGACTTCTTTTCATTCCATCTCAGCGTTGCACCTCCTACTCTAAACGAGTGACCCGACAACTTTCTGTCTTCTCCCTTCTTTTCCCACACTCTCCTATAGATTCCTAACAGCTTCGTCTTTGATATCACACTTCTCGTCCCGTTCTCCTCGATATACGAAAATAGTGGGTCCTTCGGTCCCGTTTCATTATCTTCCACCATTCTTCCCAACGCACCTATTGGATCGAGGTACGATCTCTGATACATCAGCTTTATGTATTGTATTTGTCCTGGGGCGGCTGTCTTTGCCTTGTGTAACGCGATCATTGCCACGTTTGTAGTCGGCCATTGTACGTCTTTCCTTCTTGGTAACTTCTTGCTCTTATCATTTGACACTAATTCCCCTAAACGTGCCATACCCCAGAATGCGACTAGGGCTATCGTCAGAGCCACTTGATCCCTCTTGTTTCCATTCGACAAGTGCCTCAGGAGTTGCACCAGGTGACGGAGCAGCACCGGACTTTTCTGATCCTTCGCCGATTCTCTCAAGGCGACTTCGGCTATTTTTGATGATTTTAATAGTACACTTAATTTCAATGGTTCATATCTTGGATACTCTTCATCGTGGAACAAATGCCAGCATTTAATTCCCGTAAGGTACTTCTTGATTGTCTCGACTTCAATTTTTGAGTTTTCGTTCGCTGCTTCTGACCTTTTATTTCCATCTATCCTCTTGCCTGCCCAAACTACGAACTCATATAAGATTTTTTCTGATAAGGGTAACAAATCCTTCCTCGTGTAGCTCTTCTCATTTGCGAATTTCACCAGCTTTGACACACCGCTATTGTAATTTACTAATGTCGCCGAAGCCCAGCCTCCCGACATCATGTGAACCTGAATTTCATTTTCTTTCCAGTTCCAATTCCCGTTTGCGTCTTGCAGAAATTGACTGATTTTCTTCTCTACTATTGGTGAGATCATGCCCGTTCTAATAAGAGCTGGAGGTCTTCGGGTAAGGTTATATCTAATCTATCTCCTATCTCGTCTTCTTTGTTCACTTCTCTTGAGAGACCGTCCGCGTCGTTGTCTCCGGATGCGACCCTTTCCTCGGTGATGTCGCACTGAAGTTTTAAGAGTAAGTCTTGAATTTTCTTCCACTCTTCGTTCACTTGTTCGCTCTTTGACCTTCTCTTATTGATTGTAGATTCGGTTTTTGTGTTGTCGGTCTTTACCCAGAAGTTCCGCCCTTTCGTATCCGTTGACATTTCTAACATTAAGAGGCCCAGTCGGATCGCTGCTGTTTCAGCCCAAGCGATGTCTCTACACGTCTCATCTTGCCTTAATCCTACCGTTCTCCATCCTTCTTTTAACTTAAATCGAACCCAACCGAACTCTAGTAATACTCCAATCCCAAACAGGCTCGCGTCTCCGACCCACCCTACCCGTTCCGGAGTAACCTCTGGGATTATCCTCCTCGGCTCGAAAGTCGTTAGGGCTCTCCTCCAACTTTCCAGGTCGTCTCTGGCTGCAACTGACAAGTGCCTCCTTGCGTTTGGTTTCCTCCAAGGGTGCAGCCACGCATATAATCCCCTCATATAGGGTTTCATGTGGGGTAGGATATAGATCAGGTGAGCTATTTTACCTATCACTGTGTCTGCGTGTGTGAGGCTCCACGGTTCCACTCCTTCCAACATGTGGACTATCAATTCCAACCTTTCTTTTAACTTTTCTTCTGGTAGTCTTACTGACTTTTCAACTCCATTCCAGATGAATCCCAAGTACTTTTGCTCGTCGGCAAAGTCTTGGAGTTTCTTGATGTTGGTCTTCACTCCCATCTTTGCACTCATCTCTACTACACTCTGAATTTGTAAGTTGCTTCCTTTTTCTCTAACTACCATGTTATCATCTACCCATCTGAAGATACGTTCTATCTTCAGGTGTTTCTGCACTATCAGCCTCCACATGTCTGCCACTTTCCCGAACGCCCCGCATCCTGCGACACCACCAAACGGGACTCTTGTATCTATCCAGATCATTCCGTTGAAGTCTTTGATTGTAAGGTATTTCCACTCTTCTATCTTCACTGCCGCTTGTCGGTAGGCTTTTTCCCAATCGTATATAGCTAACTCTAAAGCTCTCTTAAAGTTTTCCCTGAAGTATCTCGCCACCACTCTGAAGTCGTCCCACGACGTATCGAAATCGTGTTTGTCGACCATCGAGTTGACTGAAGGGGTGTTGGGATCGCCTACTGGGAATGATAAGTTGTTTATCATTCTCAACGTTCCATCGTTGTTGACTACGCTCCCCATGGGGTTTGAACGGAAGAAACCCCATCTTGCGTACACCTCTTCGTGTTTGAAAGGTCCGTAGATGCGTCCGGCTCTTTTTTCTTTATAAAGGTTATTCATTATCTCTTCTTTTACTGCCAGTGCTGAAGCGTGGTTGTCCGGCGTTTCCCACCTCCTGTTACTCAGGTAGTGCTCGGGAATTCCTTGTGAGAATCCCTCAATGAGTCCGTTAATGACTTCTGCTGCCTCTTGCTGCAAACCGCATTTTTTAGCTAAGCGTATCCATTCCTCGACAACCATTTCTGTTCTTGCTTTTACGGGAAATCTTGGGTAAGGGTGTGCATTAGTTTTGTTGTTCTTCACCACTGTTTCGTCTTGTTTCTCTCCTACCCTTGTTGGACTCTGTACGTGTTCCCGTTGTTGTATGCCGTCTTGTTGCATATGCTGATTGCTGCTATCATGATTGTTTTCATTTGTCAAGAATACATTCAGATTTGTTGGGTGTCTTACGGGGTTCTCTGTCACGGTTGTCATTCTGCTAAAGCAAAGTCACATGTCTCAGCTCACGGTCTCAAGTTCTCACGGGGGGATTGTGGCACAATAGGTATGTTCACAATTCTCATTTCATTTCATTAAGGCACTTGGGATTCGTCTATGACATTTGTAACTCACTGTTGGGTGGTGCTACCACTGGCTTGTGCCGCCTTCAGAGCTTCAAATGCTCCCGGTCCAAATTTAGGAACTGCTACGCCATTCACCAATACCGTGGCACTCGGAGCCATGCCACCTCTACCGCTCGGGCCACCTCCTCTACTTCCTTGACCTCTCCCCACACCTCGACCTCTTCTTCCTCTACTCCTTCCACTTTCGTGTTGCTTGTTCACATGAAATCTGTTGCTTTCGTGGTGAAATCTCTGGTTCTCGTTGTACTGGTGTAAGTTGTTTCTTCCAGTGTCGTGATGTGTGTTTGCGAATGATGCGTTCACATGACCTCGACCTGTTGGTGCTAAGTGCGATAACATTCTTCCTCCTGTTACTGCAGTGACTTGCTCCATTCCGTTCGAACCGATTACATCCCAGCCAACTTGATATTTCCCAGTCCATGGGCACATGTTCTCTAGGGCTCCTCCTATAATGTAGGGGTTGTCTATGTATCGATGATCGCCGTTTGCTTTAGAATCCGACCATGCTTGTTCCATTAACTCTTCATTGATCGTTCCTACATCTGACAGCGATCCATCTTCTAAGGTATGACTCCACACATTGGTTCTATGAGTTATATTGTATCTTAAGGCAGGTGCCCAGGCTTCATGATGTTTGGCTTTCATTTCTAGGACATTCTTATAATGTTTTTCTAGGCTTAAGGCGATGTCTTCTCTATTGTATTTTGACCTCCAATACTTAACGCACAGGTTTAATGAGGTCGACCATTCCAGGAAGCTCTGCCTCCACTCGCTCGGGATTCTCGATCCGGTGTATTGTAAGACGTCTGAACACGAGTTGGTTTGTTTCTTCCGATTTGCCATGTGGGCTTTGTCTGCTAGGAGCCATGCCGGAACGAAGATTGTCAAAGGTACGTAACCGAAGCAGGCTGTCATTTTGTTATCCCAGTAAGGGGCTAAGTCTACCAGTTGATGCGTCAAGATTTTTCTGGGATTCATCTTCTTCCCGGCCTTTGCTGGCTTCTCAGATATTTGCTTCGTACTCTTTCTTTTCGCACCAACTAACTCTTCATCATCATCGTCTTCTCCGCTCGAGCACTCCAGCATTTGTACCGGTCTAGGGTGTGAGCTTACTCGTTCGCACCACTCGACGTATGACTGTTTCAGGAGTTGAAAGCGTCTTATTTTTCCTCTCCGATAGAGCTTTTCCAACTCTGCAACGTATCTTTCATGTTCTCGATCTACGTATGCGTTTTCGTTGAGGAAATTTGTTTTGTCTCCTGATACCGGGCCAAGTCATCATTCATACGATCATGTCAGTCTCTTTTCTATCTCCACTTTTTACGCTTCTCAGAACACTAATTTGGAATTTCATTTCAGGACGTTTATGTCATGGGCTGTCTTTACAGAACAACACTTTCTAGCACTTTGTAAGAGGAACCTTGTCTGACATGATTGTGAGAGGATGGCACTTCTAGCGCTTGTAAGAGGAACCCGTTCTGACATGTTTATAAGAGGAACCGGGTCGAACTAAGAGGAACCAGGTCTAGCTTGTCGTAAGAGGAACCAGGTCTTTTTCTTTTCGACGAAAGAAGGGCCTTTATTTTGTTTCATGCGTAAGAGGACCTTGATTTCTTTGTTCTGTTCATCTTGTTTAGTCAATAACTGGGATATCACCCTGACTGTTTCTAGGGTTTACTAGATGATGGTCTCTTTAAGGGGGGGTATAGTTTTCTTGACTGGGGGTAGGATGTGGGGTTTTTATTTCTATTGGAGAATGAAACATACCTAGATCTATGTGATCCTCTTCGTAAGCCCCTTCTTCGTTTTCATCTTCACCTCCTTCTACTCCTTCTATTCCGTTTCCTCCGTCTGACAACTCACTACTCTCACTTTCTTTCCTATCTTCTTTTCCTTCTTCCTCTTCTTCTTCTTCTGTGTCTTCATCTTTAGGTTGCCGTTCTTTACCTTTTGTTGCTGTGATCGCTCTGGTGATTCTTGTTGTTCCGCTAGTTCCACCTCTCTTTCCTCTCTTCCCTCTTCCTCGACCTTTCCCTCTCTTGATGTTTCCTCTTCCTCTACTAGTGCTTCCTATCTCCTCCTGATTTTGTTGATTTTGCTCGTGTTCTGCAAGAATGCAGTTTACGTCTTGATTAAAGGTCATCGTGTTTCCGCTGCTTTCTGTTTGTTGTGTTAACTTTGGTTGACTGTCCATTTTTGAAATAATTATTAATTTTTCTTTTGAAGCTACTAGCAATAAATCTGAAAATTCAATAATTCGAACTTGAGGTGTCTGAGTGGGAAGAGTTGTATTGGAACTTTGAAATTGAAAATTTTCAAAGTCTTCTCTTCTCGGGAGGCCGGTTACCCCGGCCCCGCCTTGCTCTCATCCACTGCGTCTCGGGTCCCGATGGAACTCACCAATGACGTCGTTCCTTTGGCCACCAGTGCCAAACTAAAAACCAAGATAAAGGAGATCAAAGCGCGAATGAAACGGGGTTTTCCATATGGTCCTTGAAAGCTTTCAACCTACTTTCAACAGAAAGAGAAGTGAAATGAGCTATAAATTTTTCATTACTTAGGGTCAGACAAGATATAAAGACAAATTGCGCACCACCGAGAGGCAAGAGCGCCATCCACGACCCTATGATCGCAAGTCATAGTGACCATCAAGATATCAATCTCCTTGAACCCTTTTTCACTTGAAGTATCCATCACTAATTTCTTATCAGTTGCTCCAACTGACACGGTACAAGCTTGAGGTCTATTGACGAGGGAAGTGAAATGTGAAACAGATCCGTACATTCCTAAATTAGAGATCGTGATCCCTCCACCTTGATATTCATTTGGATTTACAGCTGTTTCGAAAACAAAACTGGTTGTCGTTTTTTTTTTTTTTTTTTCATATCCGCGGTTTTGAATCTAGCAGAAAAACCGTGCAAAAGGCTGATGACAGCTGATTACGTGGCATGAGGTTCAATCCTGTTGGACCCTGTTGAATCACATTGCAAGCTTGAAGCCAGCGCCACGTTTGTCCACAACACAATTGAGCCATCCTCAACATGCCTGCTGATCGGAATTCACGGCCTTTTCAAAGTTTCAATCAATCACTCCCATATCAAAGAACCACTAATTTCAACACAGCTCAACAGTCTCGTGGTTCTTATAGCGGTACATCCTCAAGCTTCTTCCACCCGGCTCAAGATTTGACTCAAGAAGCACCAATCCTACATGCACCGGGGCATTTTCCTTATCAACGTTTCAGCCAAACTGGCCCAATCACATTTCCAACATCACAACCATCAACCTCTATTTCTTCCTATCCACCTTCTTTGAATGGAAGATCTCAGGCTTCGGGTTTGAATGTTGTTGAAGTTGATTGTGATGGTATGTCTTATTTTTTATTTTCCCTGTAGATATTGATCTCAACTCTTCATCTTCAGATTTGCCGCCTCCACCTGCTTTGAATAGAAGATCACCGGCCTTGGGTTTGAATTTTATTGAAGTTGATTGTGAAGGTACGTCTTGTTGTTCATTATCCCAGTAGATAACAAATTTGACTCTGCTTTTAGATCGCTCATCTTTGAAAACCACTGAGCTGGCTTTCAAAGTTCATGTTGAGGTTTTCATACCTGATGAACCCGATGAGGATGCTCATTCTAGTCAATCACGCTCCAAGAGGTCAACAAAAGCTTCAGGACCAACTGTGGCCCCCTACACCCCCCTCAAGAAGGATTGGGAGATTCGGGTATCAGTACATGATGATGCTGATCTTGAGCTTTTCCGTTCTTTGATATTCAGTCAATGTGATCTACTTGAGGCAAATATCTCCGAAGCCCTTACCGCAGCACTCTCAGAGAATGATCTCAAAGTTACCGGTTGGATCCATGCCCACAAGAGCTTCCTCAAGAATAAACAATTTGAAATCATGACCGACACTGCTTTTAACGATTTCATTTCAGCTTGCCTCGACAACCCAATGCAATCTATGCATTTGGATTTTGTACAGACAAACCCAAAGACCAAAAGGGCAAAGGAGAATAACGTGAGCTCGTTCAGTCTTTCTTGTGATTGTGATTGGGTTTGACGAATCAATTTTCAGGCTGAAAAAGTAGCTCGAAATCTTGCTCGACTCAAGCAAAACCGAGCTCAAGGAGCTCATCACAGGCAGTCCACACCTGTATGTTATTGGAAAATTCAATCTCAAATGTAGCTGAGCTGAATGTCTCTTTTGCTCCCATAGAACAATGATGATGATGATGATGAAGCTCGTCTTTTGAAGGTGATTCAAGACCTCACTACACGCTTCACCAAAAGTGAAGCTAATGGTGAAAGCTCGATACGAGTTATTAACCCAGAGAACAAAGAAGAATTAATCAAGTTGAATACAAATATGATCAAGATCTGGGCTCAAGACATCGTGCGTGTTTATTTTATCTTGGTTAAAATGAATACTAATTTTCTCTGGTTTAGGTCAACAGGGTCCCAGGTGTGAGCAACGTGAAGCCACCACTTCGAAGAGGCTGGAAGTGGATCTCGATCAGTGAGTTCAAAAAACAAGAAGCCGAGATCCTTCAGGCTAGAATATCTCGACTTCCTGTTCCAGCAAACACTTCCACCGCTGCTGCAGTACCAGAAGCCTTTCCCTGCCGCAAGAAAGCGATGCCGATATTCATGTCCGAAGGTCAACGAGTATTTCCAGATAAGACAGAATTTATAAAGGCCGCTCAAGTGTTTGAAAGCGAAAGCAATTGTTCGTTTTTCTTGGATTTTACTTTGAATGATTTACGATGGGATTGGGTGCGATCAAAGATGAATAGTTTGTGATCTATCTACAACTTGTATAACTACTTTACTCGTTCTTTAGTTTTTTGTATCCATCTGACCTCAATAGAAGAGTATAGTGTCTACGCTTTTTCATTCTCCTCAATAACTTTTTGTCTCAGTCTCCACTTGTCTGTATCCATACAATCTCAACAGATGAACTTCTTGTCTCGTTTGTCTCATTGTTTAGTTTTTGTGATTTTGATTTGTTTTCAGTTGTTTTTCTTTGAAATTAGAAATCGATTCTAATTTAGATTCTCGTACTCAACTTCTTGCATTCCAAGTAAATCAATCAAAACAAGACATAAGAATTTCTTTTTTTTCTTTCAAAGATCATGTGTACACTTCTACAAACATCCATATCTCTTAATCGATCGATCAATATCACAATCAATTCTAAGAGAGCAACCAAAAATGATCGATATCGCTTAATCAATTCTAAGAGAGCAACCAAACAACCAAACATTGGCATAGTACATACATAGATAAATCAAAGAATTACTTCAAACTAAGTCAGTGACCGAGAATTGAATAAATTTGAAATTGAGATTAATAAAAAAGTGGTTGAAGGTGGTTGATTGAGAATTGTTTGATTTAAATTTGATCGATCGATTTCTTTTGACAGTTTTGAGGAGTTGAGTTGAACTGATTGATGAAATGAATAGAGTTCTACAGAAGCCAAGATGAATTGTACAGAGGAACCATCAGCTCCCTAGTAAATATGAAGTGAACAGCTTCCTCAATAGCCTCGATCATTTCTTCAGGGATTAAACCTTGCAAGTATTGAGTGCGACGAAAATAAGCCTTCAAAGCACTGAAGGCTTTCTCGATAGGATTGAAATCTGGCGAGTAAGGTGGAAGGTAGATCAAGCGGATCCCACGGTCTTCACACAGCTCCTCGATCCTCCCTCCGTGATGAATACGGGCATTATCGATGATTAGAACTGAATTTGGAGATGGATATGGATTCATTTTTGGTAACTGAGAAAGATGCCAGTCAGCAAGTGATGATGGCTCCAAAATCTTTGAAATGATAACTCAAAAATGTTCCAATAGACATACCAGATTGAATTCAAGAAAGTCTTCAAAATCATCTCGAAGGTAACTACCTTCCTGACACGAGACAGCTAAGAGTCCATCCATGTAGACTGCTGGCAAAAGAGAGTACCGGATTCCGGCACGAGTTTGTTTTTGGGGTGTGGTACGATATCCTCGGAACGCTCGGCCATATTGTCTATATACCTCCCGTGAAGCAACAGCACTTTTGTCTAATGTGTAACACCACGTCAGTGAAACAGAGTTGGATGAGGATGAAATCAACAAATTCACCTGCAAATACGAGCATTTCGGCATCCAGATTGGCAATTGAGTAGACGTAAGCGGCCCTCTTGACCGGGCATTGAGCTGGATGAACGGTTTCAACCTTCTTCCGAGTCAAATTGAGACGATCAATAAGGTCGTCGGAAATGGTTGACAAGTTGGCGTGAATGCCGGTTTCATTGTACACCAATTCCCGGACTTCGTCAAGATAGAGTGTTGGGTCAGCAGAGATCAAGTCGGCCATGAATTCACGTTCTTGATCTGAGAATACGAGGGGACGACCACGTTTCTCATATTCTGATGCACTGCGAACCACGGCTAGAGTTGATTCGTATAGTTTTTGCCATTGGGTGAGGGTGTCCACATGTACTGCAGATCGCAGATGGCGTTTGACGGCTGCTCGACTCATACCTTCGGACAATAAAGTAATCGCCTGCACTTTGATGTCGGCGCTGTATCGAGGCATTCTTGTTGTTTTTGTTTCGTGAGATGTGGTGAGGTGGATCTGGCAAGATGGGGGCTTGGACAAGGTGCATGCGAATAGAATTTGGATATTTGCTCCCGATTGGGAGAATTAGCCCAATCAGGTCAAATAAATTGACCGCGGATATGAAAAAAAAAAGAAAAAAACAACGACAACCAGTTTTGTTTTCGAAACAGCTGTAATTGATCATTTCTAGCTTTTTCAGCCAAAGTTTTCACTCTTGATGAAATCGAACTTAATCCTTGATTAACAGCGTCTGTTAAGACCGGAACGAACAGTCCGGTAGGTGTATCAACAATGATGGAAATGTCAACAGAGTTGAATCTACAAAAATGGCACCTTTTAGAATAGGATTACAACTTGAGATGAATGTGAGGTAGGTCCAGGACTCAACTGTCTAATAAAATCGTCGTGCCATTCTGCAACAACTTCTGGTACATCTGCGCAAGCAAGTGCTACTCCCTTGATGACGAAATCATTGACAGTTAATCTTGTGGGCACTTGCATGTCAGCTTGAGCAGCTTTTGATTGGTCAGCTAAAGTTTGGTTGAAAGATGCTCTCATGCTTCTCACTCGATCCATTTTAATCTCAGAGGTGAGGTAGTAATGAGGTACATCGCGCTTGGTGACTGTCATTCTGGTGTTCCTCGCACGTCGCGCCGTTGAAGTAGGTATATCATTGTATGATGGAGTACCAGGTGTACTAGAACCTATGAACGTTGATGAACTTTGAGTGTATGGCATCAGATCCGTTGAGTAATTGTGTAGGTGATCGAGCTAAAATGACTATCCTGTTCCAGAACGGAAAGTTCGGCAGCAGGACTGCCAAAGGGGACTGCCAAAGGTTACAGCAGCCAAAGGTCCAGGAAACTTTGGAGGTGAGCAGTCGATGCGCTCGTAGAAGAAGTAGAGCTAGGTTTTGAGGTTTTTGCCTTTTCTTGTGCTTTAAGTTCAGGTTGTGATAGAATTGGTTATTTCCTGTGAGATTCAGGAGTCAGCTTTGTATAAAGCTGCACACTGATCGAATGAAATGAGAACAACGTTGATGGGAAAGAAGTGAAAATGTTTGACTTTAAGAATGTCTGAGTTGTCTTGAAATCAAGTATAGTGTATCTATAAGAGGGGAACTAAGAGTATGCACAATAGCACAGTGAGAACCTCTATCAAACACGAAATCTAACAAATTGATTCTGACCTGGGATTGGTACAGATGAAAATTTGTATAAAGTATCTATAGATCGATATCTGATCTCTGGGACTTTAAGAGATAGATGCCTATAATAAATCAAACATAACCACATTCAAAAACAACAACATCAATATGAGTCTTAGAGCAGAAAGAAAAAATTAGAAATGCACTTACTTCTCTTTTCAAAGATAGGGAAAGAGAACTATGATTGAAGTCAAAATATAGTAAAGTATAAGTCACCAATTCGATGTGTCTGAAACTGGTAATTGGGGTAAGTGCCTGATAATTATTACATCACCGGTTTATCAACATTGATTCTCCTCCTTTTTGCGCTACCTAATCATTTCTTAATATAACGTATTTGTTTTATGTCGAATGCACATTTCAACAGACATGATTGGAACACGGTAAGAATAACCACTCTCCTGCTTAGGAAGAAGTGAGCTGACCTGTGATGAGGTTTACAGCCCTTTGCATGATTGATGACCTTGAAGAAAAAAAGACCCCGAGTTTTCAACAAAAAAAACCTTGAGTTTTTTCAAAAAGTGACCGAGTTTTTTCAAAAAACTACCGAGTTTTTGAGAAAGTCAATGTGTTTTTCTTGAAATTTTCAAAAATCAATGAGTTTTTGAAAAACTCGATAGGTTTTCCAAAAAACTCGGTCACTTTTTGAAAAAACTCGAGGTTTTTTTTGTTGAAAACTCAAGGTTTTTTTTTCTCCAAAGTCATCAATCATGCAAAGGGCTGTAGCAGATAGATGAAATGAAATGATATGATTTGATAATGAGCTCTGTGCTCTTTTGATCTATGGAACCGGATGATAAAGCTACAAAAAAATATCTCAGCTAATCAATCAGAAATAAAACCAAAAGTTGAAGGTACATACAGCCCTTTGCATAATTGTTGACTTTGAAAAGAAAAAAAGTGTGATTTTTTGGTGTTTTTTTTTTGAAAACCTGCTGAGTATTTCCAAAACTCGCCGAGTTTTCAAAAAAAGTCATGCAAATTAACCTAATCTGATCACATTGATCATTTCCCGAACATGACCAATCCTAAAATGACATCACACATACAATTAGCAAGAGGCATGTGTTGTAATTGGGAAGAGTCTGCTTGCCCAGTGTCTTGGAGGTCATAGGGTGGGGACATTGGGGATCTGATTTCCCTAAACAAAATACTTGACAGATCAAAGCCTGACTTGAGAATCTTAGCATGAAACAAGGAGAAGAAAAACCCTAGGGAGACTCCAGGGGGTGGCACACTGTTTACACTCATGATGATGCCAAAACATGCATAATTGGGAGGGGTGATGGGAAACCAATGGAATGCTTAATACTAATGCTTTAAATGAACAAAATGAAAAAATAGATTTTTCTTGCCATCTCTATTACAAAATCCAAAAGAGCTCCTTCTTACTCCTTGACTTATGATCCTTTGTGGTTTTTTGATCCCAAAAAAGTGAAAATAGAGAAAAATCTGACCATCTACTACATATATCTATGTATACACCATTTCGCTGATATAAAGATTAAAGCGCGAATAAAACCGGATTTTCCATATGACTCTTGAAAGCCTTCAGCCTAGATTCAAGAAAAAAACAATGGTAGAAAGTACCTAGAATGAACAATTCCACCAGTACGAGGATGAACAGATTTGTAAAAAGAACAACGTACCAGCGAGCTCCAAGAGCTCCATCCACAACCCGATGATCACACGTCAAAGTAACCACCATAACATCAATCTCTTTCAAGCCATTTTCACTCCCAGAATCCAATCTTAATTTCTGATGAATCCCACCCACTGAAAAGATACAAACTTGAGGTGATTTAATAATCGAAGTGAAATTCAAAACTGATCCAAACATTCCTAAATTCGTGATTGTGATCCCTCCACCTTGATATTCATCTGGATTAGATTCATTCATTCTTGCATCTTCTTTTAGTGTTTTCATTTCTCTTGAGATCGAACTTAGCCCTCTTTTACTTACATTTTTTAGGACTGGGGTACATAGTCCAGTAGGCGTAGCAACTGCAATTGATATATCAATTGAAGTAAATCTACAAAAGAAATGTTATGTATGGTTAAAATACGATTACAAACAAACAAACAATGTTGTAAGTCGCCGTAAGCTCATTGAATAAACTCAACTGTCTAATGAAATCACCGTGCCATTCTGCGTTGACCTCTGGTACATCTACGCAGGCGAGTGCTACTCCCTTGATAACAAAATCATTGACACTCAATTTTCTAGGCGCTTCGATCTCACCCTGAGCAGAACTCGATTGATCAATTAAAGATTTGTTGAGCAAGCCTCTCAAACTGTTCACTCGATCCATTTCGATTTCAGAAGTCAAAGAGTAATGAGGTACAGTGCGCTTGATCTCTGACAATCTTGCGGCAATCGCACGTTGCATGGTTGAAGTTGTGATGTCATTGTGCGATGGAGTACGATCCTGAGGTGTAGTAGAGCCTATCGAGCTTGAGGAACTTGGAGTGCCAGATGTCAAGTCAGATTCTAGGATCCGTCCATCGAGTCCTGAACCCTTGATCGAGCCAAGAGGAATCCCCTTTTCAAGAGAAATACGTATGGCAGCAGGAGTGGCGAGGATCACAGCGCGCGAGGTTTCAGAAGATTTTGAAGGTGACGAAGGTGTTGCGCTTGTAGAAGAGACGCCAGGTTTTGAGATCTCTTTCTTGGACTCTGCTTTGGGTTCTACGTTCAGAAGTAGTCTCAGACTTTGATGAAGAGGACAATCCATATATCAACTTTTCGATCCAAAATGCGTCGACTCACCTTCTTCACGCATGATGGCAATCGCTTGGTCAACTGGCACCGCCGAAACCTCAGATATAATATAGGTGAAGAGCTATGTTCCTGAGCAAACCTACAACGCTGTATCAAATGATTTGGCTGTTTGATGATAATAAAATATTCGATGAGAAGAAAGGAAAGATCAAATGAAAGAGGTGAAGGTTCAGGTAGTTTAAATATACCCAAATTACTATCCTCTACAACATATTAACAAAACTTGACAACACCGATCCTTTCCTGCGCATAACGAAATCGACTGACCCGCGCCTTTTTAAATCAACACACTGAAAATCTCTTTAGGGGAATGAAAGATGCCTGTCCTGAGGTATTGATGTCACGCGTTCATGACTCGATGATATAATCATCAGCTTTCATGAAACTATTCACAAGTTGCTCAACAATTTCTTCGAAAACAGAAAAGGAAATGGGTTATATAGTAATCATTCTGATGGAAAATGTCATCCTCATGAATTAAAAATGGTAATCAAGAAGTTTCACAGATGGTTGGTAAACAGCACAGGAAAAGTGTTATAAATCACCTGACGCTATGGCTTTTCGCACCACTTTGTTGTGGCGACGTCGTACAGCAGGTCTATCAACCTATTCTCGTTTCTAGAAACTCGCGCCTACATAGTTGTCATGGTCAATTTGATCTATGTTGAGAAATCCAGGTAGAAATATAACATCTTTATGATATTCTTACATTTTGACCTTGTAGGCAATATATAAGTAAAGTGTTCAAGAGAAGCTAAAGGAGGTCAGTTTGATAGGGTTTGTATCGGCCAGCAAGTGTTCTTTGATTGCTGGTAACTATTGTAATGTCAAATGCACCACACGTTGGGCTGGGCTCAATAGAATACCTATGAGCTTCTTTGATCACATCAAAGGACCTTGGTGTGTGCGCACCCCTAAGCCAATAAAAGCACACCTGAATCCCCTTGGAATCCCTACAGGCGCGAAAATCATGCTCGCCACCTGAGCAACCTCACAGCGTGAATCTCCCGATTTCCTCATGAAGGCTTTTAAAGCATAGCACAATCCAATGAATCGTGAATACATCAAATCTTCCGAAATCCATAAAGTTCAAAGTGCAAGTGAATCGCAATCCCCTTCCTTACCTGATCTTCTTCACATAAACCAAACCTAAATCAAATAAACCAATAACTTACAATCAAACACATCTCTTGCGTAAAAGTTAAACCTAACACTTAAGCTGACCATGAAGTAAGAGTACAGTTTAAAACAAAAGAAAAAGAACCGGCATACATTTTTTTTGTTTGTTTTGTTCGACTATAAACCATTTTTTTTCTTACTCTTCTCCTCTTCGAAACAAATCAAAATCTTGTACACAGGCACAAAAAACATTACAAAAATTAACCCCAACAAAAAATAATCTGAAAATCCAAATCACTATAACATTGATAGAAAGAACAAAATCTCTTTAAAAACTCTCTTCTTTTGTTCAGTAAATGCTTAAAAGTTTCCAAAACGATTTAATCCACATCTAATGGATCCATTAAAAGTTCATCTGCATTTGATCTTTCCACAGTACCACCACCACCACCACGATTTCTTCTTTCTTCAGCAGCAATAGCTGATAGTTCTGCCATCGTTCTATTCTCTGAATGATGATCTTCATCTTCATCTTCATCTTCACTTGGAGCGTCATCATCTCTAGCACCCGATCCTTCTGCATTTAATGGTACATCATCTGGGTCATCTGTTGGATCCTTCACAAGTGAAAACCGACTGTAAACCAAGACAAAAAAAACTTGGTTAGTCAGGGAAATCAAATCGAATCAAAAGATTGTGATGAAAAAATAAAGATACATACCAAACTGGACAAGTCCCATTCCTTTTTAACCATGGTGTAATACAATCTTCAGAATGAAAGATATGATGACAAGGTAGCTCCATACATTCTTCTTCCATCATAAATGCATCTTTACAAATCGCACATTCCCCAATCTCACTCTCTACGACAAAATTGCAAAAAAAAGTAGGTCTAGTCAGTTGATGAAACGACTTCCAGAATTGAAAGATGATCAAAGACTTACCAAGAGTTTTAGCATCAACTTTAAACTTTTTCAACGATTTAATTTTAGCTTCACTTGCAGGTACAGGATTATGACCACTGTTAGCACCTGCCATGTTCATTAACTGGTCAATCACATCTTGCATTCCCATTTCACTCAATACATAATCTCCAAACTGTCCTCCTCCACCACCTACACCAAAATTGGCAGTAAATCCGAACCCATTACCACCACCGTTGAAAACAAATCCTTCTCGATTTGGGATTCCATCGGGTGTAGAAAGTGAATTGAGCATAGTGATAAACTGTCGTAACGGATGATCTTGTTCTAAATTCACTGAGCCTCGGTTAGGTGTTGGACCTGTATGGAAATGACCACCATCATCGGACCATCTCGGTGGACTTCCCTCACGCGGTCTTGGTGTATCTGGCCTTCGTGTTGGAAATTCATCAACAAAGGTAGGTAAACGTGACGGTTGATCGTCATCATCTCCTTCTCTCTCATTGTTAGACATGGGGTGGTCGGCATTGGGAGTGGGATTGGTAGGGTTTTGACGTTGGGATGCTTGACTGATCGCTTGTTGGACCATACTGAAAAGACATGCAGAAAATGTCGGTCGATGAGCTTTTTTTTAAATTTTTGGTATAAGACAACTTACGTGAAGAAATTGGGAATGTTGGGAGGTCTGGCTTGCTGGTTGGGATCTGGTGTACCATTATTACCTACTCATCAAAAGCAAAAAGCAGGAAATTGTCAGTTTTAGAGTGCGAAACAGAGAAAAACCAAACGTAAGAATAATTTACTTGAATCGAAAGTGAACGTATAAACTCCAGTGTTGAATTGAGGTTGGCCTGTGGTCTCATCTGGATCGGAATTTAATGAAGCAGACCAAGTACCACCAGCTGGCCCAGGGGCTGTGTTTGACATTTGAGGATTTGATCGAGACCTACGAAGAGGTTCTGAGCGAGAGGTGTTGGCTGTAGGTTTGATATTCCAAAAACAAGAATTAGGTCATAGATCGATTTCGAAACTACGATAGTATGAGAATCGGAGGAAACAAACTAGTAGAAGGGTTAGGGTTCTCTTCAGCCGAAGATGTAGCAGGAGATTGGTTTCGAAGAAATTGTGGAAGTCCAAAGAGGTTGAAGAGAGGTCCTAACATTTCTGGAAGATTGGGTGGAGCAGCTTGAGCTTCTCTCTGTTGTTCTTGTTCATCATACCTTTGCCTTGTACTTGGAATCGGTGGACTAGGGTAATGAAAAGAAGTTCGGATGGGTTCGGGAGGGATAAGATTCGAATCGGCGAAGATATCTTCCACAAAGGTCGAATGACAAGTTGGACAATGTGGGTCGGGTAACCTGAGTGGTTCACCTATTATTTCTCGATTGCATTCCTGGTGATGGGAAGAAATCCAGTATAAATCAGTGAGTGTTATAGGTGAGCGGTAAGATAGATGGGATGATGATAGACTACTCTTGTTAGGAATAGGCATTAGCGAAGGGTAAGATTACGTGGCAAAACCAAAGTGGCGGTCTTGCTGATCGAGTTGAAGAAGCCATGGTTGAGGATTGATTGGTTTTGAAGTGAGTGAGTGTGTAGTGGATAGTTTTTGAGATGAGTAAGTAATCAGATGATGAATTGGATAAAGTAAAGAAGTAGTTTTCAATCGAGAATGTTCTGGAGAAAGTCAATCGATTGATATCAAACCATCGGAAATGGAAATCAAAGTTAAACCATCATCACACTCACACAATCCAGCTTAAGTACCCTTAAAACACTTAAACCTTAGCATATGATAGCACAGCACATCCACATCACATTACAAATCACATCATCCAAGCGACAGCCCGTGAAAAAACAGATCACCGGAACACCCTGTGACCTCACACTCTTCAATTAAATTGATTCATCATTCCACTCTATTCCACTCAATCATAACATATCAATGAGTTGGGGGCTTCTTCAGACTCAACACCAGACTCAACACCCTTGAGCTTCTCTCAGAATGGTGCATAGGCCTCCATGGCAGTGATGCACTGTAATGGACTTCCATGGAACAATTGGTGGTCTCTGTGCATGCACTTCCCAGATCCGCGCCCGCCCTGAAGAGACATCCCATGACCTGCCCCAGCCTGCCCAATGTGACAAGCTGAACAGATTGATAACTTGGCTCTGGGCATGCCATGAAAGAACTCAAAACGTCCTGAAAGGTCAAGTACACTCAAACTGTGGGCTTTCAACTTTCGATCGTGAAGATGAAGTTTGATTTCTCTAGGAGACAAGACTTCATGAGCTTATCTTATCGTCCTACTACTACTCTACCTTCAAGATATCAACAAGTCTCCTAAATTGAACAAGACAAGTTTTCTCAAATATCGACGATACACCTAGATAATCATCACAAGACTAGGATTCAAGACAAAGCACCTTTCTCCTGGCTCCCCTTTCTTCCGTAACGAACTGCTGAAAAATTAATCCGGTGGTCATTGTTTAGTACAAAGAAGAGTCTTGGTCGGCTTATTTCTTCGATTTTGACAGGTTATCATCTGTGTTTGATCTCATAACTATAGCCGACAACAACAAAAAATCAAAACTTTTATTTGGTTACTCGATATTTGCTTTTGATAACTTGATAATAAATGCCAGATAAGATGGTTGAAGAAGAACCTTCTAAGCTCGTTTTACCAGTTCGATCATCTTTTTCTTGGAAACCTTCACTTTATCCACCTGGTGAATTACATATCTGGTCAACATCTCTTTCAGAAACATTTTCATTTGGAACTAAACCGAATCAAATTGATGATCTCAAAACTTCTACAAATCCTCCAGAAGTTTTAATTATCTTAATACCTGGAAACCCAGGCTTAGTTGAATTTTATGATGAGTTTCTAAATAATCTATATGAAAACCTTTCATCTAAAAATATTTCAAATCAAATTGTTTGTGTGGGTCATCTTGGACATTCTTTAAATCAATCTAATTCAGATTTAAGATACTTGAAAAACTTTAATTTGTTTTCAGAACAAGATGGGTATGCTAATTTAAAAGATCAAATTCGTTATCATCAAGATTTTGTTGAAAGGATTGGAGGTTTAGTTGATCTTGAGAAGACTAAGGTGGTTTTGATCGGTCATAGTGTAGGAGCACATATTGCTGCAAAGGTACGTTATTTGATATAAAGATCAGAAAGATTAAAGTGTTGGTATAAGATTACTGATTTGGTTTCTATTTTGTTTTCTATATAGGTTTTAGAAAAACATCCTAAGATAGTTCATCATCTCTATGGATTATTTCCTACACTCTCTCAAATCGGTAGTACAGGTAATGGAAAATCTATGTCACCGATGTTTTGGCCCATCTCATTACCGATCCTACATTGTGTTCAACTTCTTCTATCACTTATACTTCCAAGAGGAATCTTATTAAGTTTAGTTAACTTGATTACTTTGATTGGAAAACCTAAAAGTGAACGAATAGCCTTATCGATCAATAATTTAAATACAGCGACTCAATTAGTGATTAATTCGAATACAGTGGCTGCTGCATTAATTATGGCTAGATGGGAAATGAAAGAGATTTTAGAAATTGATGAAAGGTTTATTAAAACTTATAGACAGAAGATTTCACTTTATTGGACTGAAGAAGGGAAAGATTTATGGGTGAATGAAGAGGAAATTGTGAAACTTCAAAACCTTTTGGATTCTTCTTTAAATGATGAGAAAAAACAAATTGGAATTGATCAAGATGAAGGGAATGTTGAAGGAACTGAAGGTCGAGCTTTACCTCGAGTTGGTCTTCTAGGTGGGCAACGTTGGGAGAGGTCTACTGTCTCTGAAGGGATCCCTCATGGATTTTGTTTAGGTAAGCTCTTCGGTTTCTCTTCTTCATTGTACTACAAGATCAATGATTTCTCATTTCGATTTTGTTGATGTTATCCGGCTCTATGACATCGAAACTGACCTTAACCGTTTCTATCCTCTACGTCGGCCCCCCGATTGACAATTGTACATCATTTATCTCACAGAATACAATGAAATCATGGCTGAGAAATGTGCTTCATGGATTGAAAATCTCTTAAAGGTTTCAACGACCTAAATCCAAAAGAATATCGTCTTTCAAATAGATTGCTAAATGAGCAGGTCTCTTGATGACTAATACCTCAATAATAGTAAAGAATGCAAAGGATTAAGATAGATTGTATTTTCTAAGAGTAGATCGTTGTAATTCAATATAATGTGAAGTTTGTAGATGTCATCCATTTTTGCTTTCTTTGGACAATTAAGACCAGACAGGAGAATATGTCACACTTAGATAAGGGTTGCTCGAATCCGTTGTCCACCATCATTATGGCACCAGCTGCTCTCGACAATTGATATCCAGTTTACTCATATCAAAATAGCTGTGAAAGCCTCGGCTAATGCTGAGCATCCTGGACAAAGACAGTTTGGTCAGATCAAAGGGCGGTGAAGTTGCGGTTTACCGTTTTTGGTCAACGCATGAGGGTCGAGATCTTGTTGATACCATAAACACTTAGGGAGCATTTCTAGATGCTCACAAGCGCACCGGAATACTCCACGTTGCTAACCTATAATCATCGAAAGGTACAGACTACTTCTCGAGTACCATGAACGAGGACTGCGTAGATGGTTAATGGAGGTGCGTATTAGCAGACTTTTTATCCCCTGATCCCATCCATTTTTTTGCATCCACACACTTTTTCCAAGGCATTTGATGCTCACTCCCATATAGCTCCTCTTGAGCTCCTTTAGAAACGAGACTATGATGGGGAGGGGATCAAAACCAAGTCTTTGAATCACAACAGAGTTTTCAGACTTTCATTTCTTTTAACGCACGATAAGCTTATGATAGATACTTTTCAGAATCCCCTAAATCTCAGCGGTATTCATTCCAATTCCTAACGCAAGTTCACTTATTGGAAGTCACATTTCTTTGAATTCCCATACATTCGAAGAGCTCTGAAAAGAACTTGTTGAAGGCAAAATGAAAAAAGATGAATCAGAAACTGATAAATCGGAAATCATTTTACCAATTCGAACTTCATTCTCATGGAAATCATCAATTTACCCTCCAAGTGATTTACACATATGGTCTTCAACTTTTTCAAAAACCATGAAGTTCGAAATCAATCCGGACCCACCACCCAGATTAATGATACTTTTAATACCAGGAAACCCAGGTTTATGTGAATTTTATGATAGGTTTTTGAATAGATTATATCAAAACCTTGAATCAAATCAAATTTCGAATCAAATTATATGTGTTGGACATCTTGGACTCTCATTAAAATATTTTAATCAAGATAAAAGGTATCTTAGAAACCTTCAAAGGTTGTTTTTCAATACTAAAAGATGTCAACAGTTTGCTGAATTAGATGATCAGATTGAGTTTCATGAAGGATTTGTTGAAATGATTTCTCATACTCTTGATCCTGAGAAAACTAAATTAATCTTGATCGGACATAGTGTAGGAGGACATATAGCTAACAAGGTATGTAGATCCATCATCTGATGATTCTTCACTTGTTTGTGCATCTGGGATTATGATTGATTTGGTTCTACAATCTCTTTTGAATAGGTTTTATTGAAACATCCAGATTTAGTTTATCATTTATTTAATTTATATCCAACAATTTCTCAAATTCGATACTCTATCAATGGAAAATCAATCATCCCGTTCTTAAACCCAATCTTTTTACCCATCATACATTTAGGACAATTCATCATTTATCATTTCATACCTAAATTGATTTTAATCGTTTTAACATTGATTTTAAATTGGATTACCAAAACTACAAGTGACAAAAAATATCTTTCATATCATAGTTTAAATAAAACTATTGCAATGATTCATAATTTCAATTCGACGGCTGCTACATGGACTTTAGGTAGATCTCAAATGAAAGAAATCATCAAACTTGATCAAGATTGTATTTCGATTTATAAGGAAAAGATGACGATCTTTTGGAGTGAAGAAGATCAAGATTGGTGGATCCCTAAACCTGAAATCGATCGAATCATCAAATTACTAGAATCGACAACTTATCAGAACAACAGTGAAGTTGGAGTTCAAGAAGAGGTAAAAAAGAATTTGAAGAATGTACCACGATGGGAACGTTCGAATAATAATATACCTCACGCGTTTTGCTTGGGTAAGGATGATCTTTCAATTCGTATCTGTGATACAATTCTGTTGATTTTTTGCTAATGTTCAATTTCATTCAATTTTCACACATTTTCGTGATGTTTTCTTGATTGCCGGTTTTTCCGTGAACGTGACTTCAATCTTCGAAGAACACGGTGAAAGGATGGCTGACAAATGTGCTTCTTGGATCAAAACTTTATTATCCGAATCATAGAACGTCTAAGGTACCTCTTAAAGTACATTCTTCAGTAACAATCTGACTGATGTGATTCTTTACAAGATGCTTTTTGGTGGGTTTTGTGACAATGTTACCCAGAATCATTGAAGCATGTCGAGGATAATTATCTATATTTAACTTGTAAGTCAGTGTACCTTTGGTGGATCAAATAAATCTTAAGTTCTTGGTATACAACACACTCTGGGAGATACAATACCATCATCAACGGGGTAAAATCAAGCCTTCGTGATACGACTATGCTATAGAGAATTCAAAATGGCCATTATTGAGCTGTGCGACTCTCCTGATGGACAAGTTTGCTTTGGGATCCATGTTGAGCGTGATTCTCAATAGAGATTGGAACTTGATTCGCGAAAGATTCGCTTGATAGTGGTTATTTAGATGAATCTAGGCATTGCGATGTTTTGAATGCAGTATGGGATGTTTCTAAGCACAAGACTAAAACCAAAAGTTTACAGAAGTTGATAGAAACTCGCATAATTGAGTTTTACAATACTCGACGAACTTCAAGGTTTAATGTATAAGAGTGTCTCCACATCATATCTTTACAACAAATGGACATGAGACATCAAGTGTGAGTACTGCCAATCTAGGCAAACAAGTTTTATGAATCCAATGTTCTTGATGACACCAGAGTTGAACATAGCGTTCTCCAACACTGAAAGCCTGAATGCAGATAGGACACTTATCGTGTTCTTCTTTCTCAAACAAATCCGAACTTGACCGAGGTATTTGAGAGGATTGCGCCACAAGACGAGAAGTGTAGAGACTGGTCCATTCCTTGATACCACAGGTAGGACCAAGATTGATATCAAGGTCGAAAGCGAGTAATTTGATGAACTCAAGATGCAGATGTTTGAATTTCACCGCTTGAATCCACTTGTCAATCGCTGGCGCTCTTTTTCTCGCGGCCTTCTAGTTCTATTTAGTATGTTGGCCTCCGCATTTCTCAAAGCGAGGATGAAATCAGGTAGGATTCGCTTAGCTTTGTTCAAAGTTATGGGATCCTTGTCATATGCCATCTGAATGGATTGGATCGTGGTCAAGAGTTCCAAGAAATATCAACTAGTTGGGATGGTTAAATCCAAAGGAACCGAAAGTAGCGAGTGAAATATGTAAAAGAGTCGAGAAGTTTTTTTTGGATGGTTGATCATGAGGAAGTAGGAAGATACTTCTTGATACTAATTATTCCTACAGCCTTTAATATAGGAGTCAAAGCCGATCCCTCTTCAGCATCCAGCACTTGAAAAACCTAAGCTGCTAAACTCACTCTCGTTGCTGTATCTCGCTTTATAAAAAGCACACCCTTTGTAAGCGCTGACGACTGTTTGGCATTTCAGGTCATGTTGAGTACCCTTGAATGCTATATAGAAGCTGAGTGGTCAGCATCAAGTGCCGCATGTCTAGTTTTTGGGAGTCGTACAAGGTCGTATATATGGTAAAATAATACATGCTGAAAAGTCTCGAAGCGTCGTAACAAACTTGCAGCAAATCGCCTCAGGCTCTGTGGTTTGCCCTGCCTTCCTCTTAAAAAGGGAAAAAAGTTTGATGTTTTGTCAGTGTTGCAACGGATCTTGTTGGCTGAGCGGAGAGTATCAATTTGAGCCTCGAAAAGTTTCAAGTCATTGTCGTGGCCGCCTGCTCGAATGACTTCTACACGTCCAATCTGTTAGAAGTGATAGTTAAGAACGAAGCAAGAGTGGAACTTTCATATTCCTGGAGCAATTTGATATTTCGGTGCAGTTTCGCCTGCCACCGGAATCCGACCGCGCTGGGCCGGGATGGCAGTAGCGGTGCCGGAGCATGGTCCCTTTCGAGAAAAGTGGTTCGAGTTGAACCCCGACTTCGGTCCCCAACCAAGATGATTTCCCCCTGGACTCCGCTCACTGGGTGGGAATCATGTCATCCACGATCGTGATCCAGACTCGCCAGGACGGCTACCATGGACGCGTTACGAGGCCTCTCGAAGAAGGCATCCTCCTCTAGTCTCTCGCAGTTTTTGGATCTACCCAAACTTGAATTCGACGTCTTGACTAAAATTGTGGCCCTTACGCCTGCAAACACAACCACTTTCAACGCGTTATTGGAGCCCTACCACGAGGTTTTAAAACAATACGATATTGATCATCGAAGTGACGAGAAGATATACACATTATTGCTAAAGCTCAGTTTGGTACCTGGGTCGAATTGGCGGCAGAAATGGCACTTAATCACCCAAGAACGCCAATTTTCGCCAGTCGAAGCCAAAGGTGCTCACCGTGTTCATGCGGGCGATCTACCTCAACAACAGACGCAACACCTCAACAGAAACGTGAGGAATGGCCCGATGAAAAACGACGCAGAATCCGCTACCGGGCCGGTATCTAATAGATCACGTCTACCCAACATGAAACGCGCGATGGAACGCTTGGATGTTGATGCTGTCGGGCTGTCTCGAACCGCGAAATCAAATGTATCTCCTGGCTTAATGCAGGCAACGCCCAGGAAGTCCGTCCATTTTTTGCCCTCTGCCCTCAATCACCTTAGTAATCCAAAGCCCACCAGAAAGCCCGAGACAGTCATGCCTCTACAGGTAGCCTCAAACACACCGCATTTGGTAGATAAGATCAACATCTTAGCGCACACTTGGAGACATCAGCAAACTTTGAGGAAGACATTTTTTCATTGGAAGTGGAATCTGGACAGATGGCGCAGAGTAGGCAAAGAAGTTCAAAGAGTCAGAGGTCTGTTGGATCTCAGTGCCCCTTACGAACAATGGAAGAGCAAGCAACGCGCGATCAAATTACAGCTTGTCACAGTTGAACGTGTTTGTCGCATCAGGTTTGTTTTTTCAATTCTATCTCTCAGAGTCCCTATCCCTGGATTGATAGTGTGATTGGTCTGGTCGAATTGGTCAACAGATTGCTCATGAAAAGTTTGGATTGCTGGAGACAATTGACAATCAAAAAATGTGACGAAAGATTACAATTCTTTCGACTGCAAGCATGCGATGAAGTGCAAAGAAACCGGAATCAAGTCTTGATGGGAGAGGTGTTGATTGTTTGTTTGTCAATTCTATGTTCTTTCCCGATATCGACTATCATTGAGCAGGCTTTAACACGTGATTTGATTTGGATTACCTAGCGATGGTTGTCTCATACTCGTTCATCAAAATTCTACATCATTTCTTCGCGCGATCTCGTACATCGCCTTTTACTAGCATGGCGCACAAAACGCACACATGTCCTTCATTTACATTCCTTGTCATCCAGGTTTATCAAAAGGGCGGTTAGGATTGAATTTCAAAATATGTATGGATTATGGAAAAACAAAACTGCCATTCGCCGCAGGGAGAATGATCTTATTGCGCGTTGCGACCTGAGACTACTCGGAAAGACATTTGGATTATGGAGGTTTAAAACGTAAGATCACGCTTCTTTTGGGGCTCAAGAGAAGTCACTTGACGATTAAAACTCGAATTTGGCATCTGCTGTCTATGAAAATAGGTCTCAATTTATCATAGGCAAGCGTTTTCTCGAACGATGTACATCTCGCCATTTTTTTCGACTATGGCAGCACACTTTGGTCTATCAACGTGTCCGTGAATATCCTTTTGTCTATCTCTGCTTTCCACTTACGAGAACTCGATCTTCTTTCTCTCCATCCAGAGGCTGAAAAATGCTGAGAAATCCACGATGGAGCGGCGAGACTATAATATCGGCAGATATGTCATACGATATTGGGTCATCCTTGAACGCGGGCGATTTCTTGAACACATACGTGATACAAGATGTCTTCAGTATCATATTGGGGTCTGGGTAGCAGAGCGGAGAGGAATACAGAGTCGGCTACAAGGTAGGATTGTATCATATGTTTTATATTGATGTTAAATGAGGTCTTGCATCATTCTTCTTACTGTTTCGAATTCGTGGTCTTATTTGCTCGCCGTAGCTATGCATACTTTGCACATTGAGCATAGGTCGATGAAGGCCCTACGCACCGCATGGCTATCTTGGCATCAGCGATTGAGAGATGCCCGTCAAGCTGAAAAAATCGCAGAAGAGTGGTGTCGAGCCAAGACATTACAACATTTCTTGAGAACGATGAAGATATGCTCCGAACAAATTGCAGCCCGTTACATCGAGTCTCATCAGATACGAATACACCTAACCAGACACCGGCTCATCAAGATTTGGCGTAAGAAAACCCGTAAAAAGAGGGTGGCACGTTGGCTGCAGATGTGTAAACGTAGACGAGTTCAAGAATGGTACAACTGTGAGTTTATAGATTGTCTTTCAACTTCTTACCATCACTTATCGTGGCTATAGTATGGATAAAATTGTATAGGCAGAAGAAGTATGAGGTAATCGCGTTGCAGAAGCTGCATACAATGGCTAGACTGGTGCGTGACCAGGCTCACTACACTGAGATAAGAACTTTGCTTTGCCTAAACTTATCTATGACCTTATCTTTGCTAGCGGATTTGTAGGACTGCTTTTGAAGTCTGGCATTTTAATGCAATTTTTGTGATCGACTGCGACCTCAAAGCCATGCAAGTTTTTCGTAGGCGTACTATCCAGTAAGTGTTTTCTTGGTATTGAATGCACCAAAATACGCTACTGATATTCATCCTCTCGCAGCACTTACACGGTCCGTTGGGCGGCGAGAAAACACGACCTATCAGATTCAATAGAGATAGCCCTCCATTTTTCAGCACGAAATGAGTATGGTAAGTCGTCTGACACACCCATCGTAGCATTGTGCAAAGTTATATCGCTAATTAATCTACGTGACACCCATAGTTGCAAAGAAACAGCTGTTTTTGTACTGGTTGAGTTTGACACGACGTTTGCGAGAGAATCAAGTGAGGTTGGATCGGCAGCTTTCCAACGAACGTAATCGTCTCTTATGCAATGCCTTGAAATGGTGGCGCGAAGTTCTGTGCGAGCGAAGGCTAACTGATACAGTGGGCATCTTCATTCTCAGATACATGTATTGTTCCTACACAGTCAGGTATACTGACCCGTGCCGTATTACGTGTAGGAAAACGCTGTGAGATCTCGTGGCGAGAAAATTTATAAATCGCGTACGTTACAGACATGGATCGCTCGTTCCGGCTTGATCACTATACTACGAAGTTCTAGAAAGAGTTGTGCTCTCGCGCATCTTCAGATATGGAGAACAACTACGCGCGAAAAATTAGATAGAATGATGGCTACTAAAATCGATCACGAAAACTTGTCAAAAGTTTATTTCGCAAGATGGTTACAGAATTTTCTTGATATTAAAGCTTCCAAGATGATAAAGTGAGTAGCTTACCTCATATTTTGAGGATGAGAATTGTATATAGACTGATTTGATTTTTTGACCCTTGGACATATAGTCGATTCAGATATCCTACCACTTTGAAGAGAGGTCTATCTTATATGTCTGGAAATCAACATCATGTTGAGACCGATGAGGAAATAGCACCTGGACCCGGTGACTCTTTGATGATGACAGGGACCTACCAAGCGAACGGATATAACTCGACTTTAAGCTCATTAATGCAAAGACCAAATAGATTTTAAGTGTTGAAATTCGATCATAGGATGCTCAGATTGTTTTGCTATGTATGTGATCTTGGAAATCTGTAAAAAAACCTTTTTGAAATATAGAGAGCAATTTGTCTCAAAGCTTTTCAGAATGAAACATCTTCTTTCAATTGGGGTTTGATCTAAATGATGCCAATGGTATGATTTATGAATTTTACATGCATGACAATGACATCATGTTGTTTACCACTCTCATTCCCGGTCCTTTCATTTTTATGCTTCATTTCCTTAGAAATTGATTTTTCACTTCACTTTGGGGAATTCGTTGTCAACCCCCATTTCTTCCCCTTCAATGAAGAAAGAATGAAGCTTATACATACCTGCTCACTAACTTCTTTTGGTACGATTGCTTTTGAGTTTGTTATTCTTGCAGTCACCTAGCGGGGTGACATTTTAGACACTCGATTGAATTTTTTGGGCATCGTCGTGTGTTGAGGATGTATAGTTCGCACGGTGCTGGGTGTCGCGTTCAGACTCCAGATGATAATTTAGGTAAAGAGTGATGAAAGCGTTGACCTGAATCTCCTGTCGATTGCTGGGCTGTGAAACTTGGAATGGTGGTGACATATGAGGTAAGAATCGAGATGAGCCACGAGCCTGCGGTTCAGTCTGTTTAACTTTCAGTACAAGAGCAGACGTACCCTATTATAAATATCTGCTTGAGTAGATTCTCTTTGATCCATTGCATTTTTATCGTCAACCAAACCAGATGGAGGAACCAAGCGAAGTAAAAACTCAACTTTCACTTTTCCGCCTACCGGACGAGATCCTTCTTAAGATTATAGGACACCTTGATGACTGGAGCGAAGCTGAAGAGATTCACGATAAGAAGCTGGAGCAAACAGTTACCATTCCTGGGTTCGGAGGGCCGATTGCTCTACGGATGTATCTACACGACGCTGAATGTCCAATCTTAACTAGCTTTCAAACCTTTGCCGTCGTCAACCATCAGATTTATTCTCTATGTCGACCTATCATATGGCAGGTGAATAGTATTTGTCACATTTAAGATGTCCAGAAGGTTCTGATGTGTACTGATCCTTTTCCACTCTCCCTTCGCTGCGCTACGATGCTGCAGCGTCTTACGTTCCCTTCTCCGTTACCAGGTCCAATGACGACCTGGATGAAGGAAATCTTACCGAAACACGGATCGTATGTCAAAACAGTATACGCGGAGTTAAGGGAGGAATGGTTTGAAAGACCACCAAAGCCGCTTTCTATCAAACAAGCAATCAAACACACAGACCGACGTCAGCATGCACCGGGATCAGGAATCGAAGAAGCTAAGGAGTCCGACGATGATGAAGACATCTATACCGACAATTTCTCCGTCAGCCTTACACATCGGCGGCATCAGCATGAGCCCACATCGCTCGGTCTGTGTCCAGAAAATCTGGTTCGGGTGCTTTCTTATTGTGAAAAGCTTACCACACTCGAACTCATTTGTCCGGATACGGAGCGGAACTATCCTAATTCAGGCGAAGTGCGAAACTTGAGTTACAATCTTACCTCGTTGTTTTCTGAACTTGGAAATCTTCAACATCTCAAGCTATCCGGGCCTTATAACTCATCCATACAAGCAGAATGCATCTACAAACCTCTCACGCAGCTCCCACTTCTCGAATCACTCGATTTGGCATGCGTTGCGGTTGAAGACCGGAGAAAACTTGGCAGTCTTGCTACTTCTCTTCACAGTCTCAAGAAGCTCAGATGTCTGGTTATGGATGAAGTCGATGCCCTAAACAGCTCTTGGGGCTGTCAAGAAGGTCCCCCTCATTTGGATAGTCTTATGATCACTGATTGTACACATCTTCGGTTCGCAAAGACACCGGTGTTTGTCAGCTCATGGGCGCCTCACCTGACTCATTTGGAGCTCAGATTTGTTGAGCCTTACGATGACTTATCACAAGAAGACCTTTCTCGCTTCAACCCCAAACGTAATCGAGTTTCACTCCCGGCTTTAACACATTTGACTATATGGCCTCATTCGGGATGTCACTATATCCACTGTTTTTCGGATTGTAAAGAGCTTCGTCAACTCACATTTAATTACTTTATCAGGTGTGACGAAGAAGACGAAGAAGACAAAGATGAAGATTTCATACCAGATCCAGATGGTTCATATAAAGGACTTATTGCACTTTCAGAGTTTATCGCCGAGAATGTATTTCCTAAGCTCAAGGTGATAGTCATACCTATTGAAGAAGATCACTTTCCACTTGAACCAATCTCAGCTGCTGCGCTGTCTCCGTTGGAAGAATTCTGCAAACTCAATGGCATAGAATTGAAACTTTTTCCTGGGGATATACGCCGTAAGACTTGGCGTGTTCGCCATAATTACGACTGAATTCTTTGACATTAAAATGAAGGTTTCGAGTCTAGATGTTTTGTTTACTATATCAAGCTTTTCTCAAATGTTTCTTGAAAGTGTCAATCTAACCCCAATACCATTGCTGTCTGTAGATGTTATGAGCGAGTTGTACTTCACTTGTCAATTATCTTCAGATTGTTTGACATACTTCCTTGTTCTCTCCTCTTTTCTTGCTTATCATTGTATTCTCTTTGTATACAGTGTAGTTCTAGACAGATACAATCAAGATGCTACTGAGCTTTAGCTCTCCATGTGTTTGTATATGAGCGGTTGAGCCTTGTAAGATGCCTGACTAACCTTTTCCGCCATGTGCCAGGATGAAATTTGTACATCCAGTGCTTAGTCTTGTTTGCCATCATTGTTTATTTCAAATTATGGTGGGCGACAGCAAACTTGCAAAGTAAGGAAAAGCCCGATCAGGACTTTTACCCGATTTGTAGTCCCACATACACTTGAAATTGCTGTAATACGTGAATTCATATGTAAATTTGTAAATCGAGACTCCTTTCCTCAATATCAATTGATTTGATATCACCACTCAAGACAACCTGATGGCTCTTTCCAGATCTCAGAAGGCTCAACGTTATCGGCAACACGGTAATTCACGACCTACGAAGAGACCCAAGTATTGAAATGAACCGTGGCGCAATCAGAGCTCTGATGAGCAATCCGACTCAGACCTTTCAAGTTTAACATCTTCATCCGATTGCAAGTCACAAAGTGAATCAGACCTTGACGAAGCTAACAACTCTGAAGATAAAGCTGAATACGAAGTTGAAGTCATATCTCAATCCCAATTCAAAGACTCTATCCCTCACCCGCCCCAGAAAGTTGTCAAGACCTCTCGTCAAATTGCTGCGATTGACCGGAAATGGGAGATTCTCAAAGATGCCATTGGAGGCTGCAGCTTACTATGATGATTATGAAATTTCAAACTCAAAGGCTATCCAACAATTTGATGAACTGAAAGAGTTACAAGATTTCAATTACACACAAAGAGAAATGGAACTTGCTAGAAAATCAACTGCATCCATGGATGCCTCAATTTCAACAATCAAGTCATCTTTTTGGCGACAAACAGCACCTTTAACAGGATATGAAGTTGGAAAGTCTCACACTGAGAGGTTAAGAAAACAAGCCTCACATTTCATCACTTACAAAAGATTACCAACCCAAGGAAATGGCTTAGCCACCCAGCACTTTTCCGTTCTAGATGATACAGAGGTGTTGTGAACAATTTTGGAATGGATTTCTACTCATAAGGTTGGCAAGGTGAGTGATGCATTACATCTTGACTCTTGTAAATTATGATTCAACTGATATTTTTTATTCTCTTTCATCAGGTTTTGCCCAGGATGCTAGTAATTCACCTTGCCAATGTGATCCTACCTCAATTTGATCAGTACAAATGTCCTATCTCAGATAGAACGGCTCAACAATGGATGCACAACCTAGGTCTCACGGTCAAAGCATACTCAAAATGCCTCTATTACGATGGGCACAAACACGCTGACGTAGTAATCTATTGACACCAATATGGCATCCAACTCAAACAACTCTGCAACCGGGAAGTTCACTACCTCGGACCGGATTGTGACCAAATTGTGTATCCTGAACTTGAAGGATCTGATTGGGAGATTGTATGTGTTTATCAAGACAAGTGTACAATTCACACCCATGAAGAACCTCTGAAGGGATGGTTTGCAGAGAAAGACTGTTCTTTCAAGCGCAAGGATGATGGCAAGTTGATTCACACCTCGGATTTCACTGAACAGAAACATGGTCGACTCGTGGTACCCAATCAAGATTCCAACTGTCCTCTTTGATTCAAGGATGCTGCCATTGTGATCTATCCTGGAGAACACAGGGACACATACTGGAATAGCGTTCAACTTCAGAAACAAATTGAAGAATGTGTGATTCCAATGTTCAACTATTTGAACCCGGGATGCCAAGCTTTGTTCATCTTCAACTGCTCGTCCGCGCACAAATCCTTTGCACCAAATGCTCTCTGAGTTGAAAAAATGAATATGGGATCTGCTGGCGGACAACCTCACCTTCAAAGCACAACAATTCCCACAGACGATCCCAACATCCCTGAAGGCCTTTGTGGACAAGTTCAATTGATGAACTTCTCTTCAGACTATCTTGGTGTCAAAAAGATCAAGAATAAACCCAATCTACAGCTAGCAAATGAACCCAAAGGGGTCCAGCAAGTCCTTGTTGAGCGGGGCTTATAGTCCTCTCATAATGAGAAGCGTGCTTTAAGAGGTCTAAAACATCTTAATCTCAAGTGTGACCAATGTAAACTTAGTGGACTCGCCAGAGAGAAAATACTCAGAGCCAAACGTCTAATGTAAAATTTTGAAACACCGGATCCTCAAGACATTGAAGGTCAAGGCCTCAATTGTTGTGCTTAAAAGATCTTATCAAATCAATCCGACTTCAAGAACAAAAAACCAGTGCTACAAACAGTGATTGAGGAAGCTGGTCACATGTGCACATTCCTCCCTAAGTTCCATTGTAAATTGAATCTGACCAAACATGTTTTGTTCTTTACCAAGGGAGGCAAGTCTACTCAATCTATTTTGAATCATCAACTGCTAACAAAGATAAATATTGTTTCAAATTAACTTTAGGATTTTGTAATGTAAGCCCCACAGCTAGTAGCCTCCAACAAAGTAAAGATTTATGGGAAAAGCTTAGAGCCAGCTGTCCTGTGGTGATGGTCCATTGTTTTTTCAATTGATGTGACCAAATTAGACACAAATTGATGTGAGTTTTTCTTTTTTGCTTTGATGAATCCAATATCGATGAATTTTCATTTTGATCAATCATTTTAGGGAAAAACACTTTGGTCCAGACCCTACCGCCAAAATATACAAGTCTCATCGTCGTATCTAACTGAAACAAAAACAAGCACACAAGAACTTGACTGGAGAACTTGACTTGAATGTTGTAATTCTAATTACTTGTGGAGGCATCAGATGAGTACTTGTCCTTTAATCTTTGTTGCATTAACTTGAGGGTCTCCCTGGCAAGCTCGGTATGACAATTCTCTTCTTTCATCATTAAGACTTTGAGATTGTTAACTCGAACTAAACTGTCTTTGGCTTCAGCATCTTTTATAGCCATCTGCCTGGTGAGTTGAGTTCCTTCTTCAATAGCCTTGACTTGACGTTCAGCTAACTCATTTGACCGTTTAAGTTGTTCTTGACGTTTTTCTTGAAGTTGTTCAGCCTTTGAATTGTCAAGGTGTTGGCGTTTGGTTTTCTTGTTGCCTATTGTGCGAGGAGGAGTAAAGGCACAAGGGGTACTGACACCCAAATCAAGATCTGAGTTGCTGGAGGGGGCACTAAAGGAGTCGCTGAGGGGGTTGCTGGCCCTGGCAATTGACATTGCTAGAGGACCTGGTGGACCACGTTGCGCGGTCCACTTTGAAGCCACAGAAAGGATCCTCCATGCTGCGAGAGACTTGAATTGACCTTGGGTGCTGGTTTTGTTGTACATTCTGATCGCAAGTTCAGGCAAATTGGTCGGAACAGTAACGCTGGGAGGACTAAATTCAATCTGAGCCATGATGCCAGAGAACTTGAGTGTAGCTGTCTTCAAAGCAGCCCATCTACAAAAATGTAATGAATCAGTTTCATTCATTGGACAGATAATAATAAAGAACTCAAAATTGACTCACTTTACTTTGACGGATTTGAGATCTCGTGCGGGTTTTGCAGAGGAGATCAACACAAGGTGATCAGTGACTTGTTGGAAAAAGGTTTCGGCAGTCTGATTGGTGCCTTTCTTGAGTTGCTGGCTGATGTGAAGCCAAGCTGTTGCTAGTAACTCCTCTCCGGAAGAAGACCAATTGGTAGACTTGGATTTATGACTAGTTGATGTGTTTCTATTTGATGATTTGGTGTCAATCTGTTCTTGGTTTGATGGGTTTGTTGTAGTTGAATATGAATCCATTTTGATATGACTGATCAATCAAGATGGGAATATCAAATGAAAAGGGATGTTGATCAAAATTGATGGTGATGAGGAGACACCCATACAGTTTTGGGAAAGATGGAGATGGATTGGGCTCGGTACATTTGGTATATTTTGCAGATACCGAGTTGGCATAGGGTCTGTAGATTTACTGGACCTCTGCCAATGTTTCACTGAATCAGTACGTACCAATCTGTAATTTGTACACAATTGGGAATTTTGAGGCTCGGTACTGTAAATTTTGATTTACCATGCCAAGCCTTGAAATACTCAATCGTGTCCAGATACAGATCTGTACTGTCAGAACCACTCAAAAATTGGTAGGGGTCCAACCAATTCACTGGAACTCTGCCAAATCAGTATCTGCAAAAGCACTGGACTTTACTGAGCAGCACGTCACCGCCAACATATTTACCTCGGATTGAAAAATACAAGGTATTATCGGATTACCAACCTCCAACAGAAGCTGTCCAAGGTTTTGATCCGAGGCAATTCCCAGCGCAGAAGATTACCTTGGACAAAAACCTTGGACAGACCTTGTCCAAGGTTTTACCTCCGATGATGCCTTGGATTCCGCAACCCGAGGCATCTATGTTGGCAGTGCGTCACACAAACCCTTCCAAAAATCAAAGGTTTACTACACCTCTCCTTCAATTCTGCTCTTGATCCACATTCATGCTCCAACCTCCTCATTCTGAATCTCAACATGAGCATTGGGAAACCTCTTTGCTTGCATACCTATCACATCTTGGGCTCACCAGTTTTATCAAGTCTCCCTGTTTCCACATCTTTTGTTTTCAAATCTTTTTTTCAAATCACTTTTTTCCAGATCAATTGTTTTCCAATCTTTTTTGTTTTTTCAATCAATTGTTCTCAAATTGGTCATTCTTCAAATGGTAATTTCTTGCATTGATTGTTATGAAAAGAATACTTTTCAAACCATTTGTTCTCAAGTCAAGGTGTCAACCCATTTTGAGCAACAACTAAAA